GCCCACCATGGGGGCCTGATTTTGGAGCAGACCTCACAAGACTGCCAGCAGTAGCTCTGTGGGTCTGTTTATCAAGAGCAATAGATAGTATGTTCCTCGAATAAGTCTTTTCAGATTCAAATATACCAAGTAACTCTGAAATTCTAGAAGCATTTTCTAACTTTTCAATTTCATACTCCCTTGCTGTGTATTTTGCTTCACTTGACAGTGGTAACAGACTAGGAAACTCTAAAACAGATGTCTTCTGCCTACAATTATTCGGATGAGAGCTGGCTACATAATTGTTATTATTATTCTTATTCAAATTCTCTTTACGACGACATTCTAGTACCACCTCATCATCAGTGTTAGTAACCTGTAAAACTTCTGCACCATCAGGCTCATTAATTTTTTCATTTTTCTCCTTTTCAGTACTCTGCACACGCACATTATTATTGTCGCTAAGATCCATTTCACTTTTCCTCCTATTTTTGGTATCTTCGGCCTCATTCAGCTTATCTTGCACATTTTTATTTCCTTCCTTCTTCTCCTCTTTTCTTGCTTCATGCATTTTCATCTCTTTGATTCCTATAACATCTTCATTCTGAAACATCAGAACAGACTGCAGATACGGCTGCAGGAGAGAAATGTTATCTGCTTGTCCATTATCTTCCAACGTTTTAGCACGTTCTATCAGTGATTCCCTTTTAATTTCAGTGGGTGTAGGAGTTGTCATTTCAGGTGGCCATTTAGGTTTATTCATTTTAAGCTCTTCCTCAAGGGGGAAGGTTTTCTTAGGTGTCTCCCTGGAAGGAGGCCAAGTGACTTTTAATTTCCCCCTTTCCTCAAATTTTCTCAAATCATCTCTTTGCTCTTCACTGTTAGCAGAATCCAAGTGCTTAAGATCTTCAAGAATAGGATTGTTTGCTGCAATATTTTTACACATATTTGTTTCTTCATTCAGAACACAGTCCTCCGAGCCACTTTTATTTTTGTAATTCCATCTATCTTTATGTTGTTTGTGTCCAAAACCTTCATCATAATTTCCTTTAGATTTGAAAAGTTGCTTAAAGTGAGGTTTACAATATATTTTTCCATGAAGTGATGCATAATTTCCCAAACTGCCAAAAAGAAAAAAAAACAACAACATATTTTTAGCATTCTGAATATTAATGAAAAATTCACAGGGAATTAAGGATTCCAACAATGAGTCAGACTCAGTACAATTAACACACTGAATAGGAATGTGCTTGTTAATTAAATATTTGTGTTAGATATTAGTTACTAGTGTAGTGGTTACGAATTGGGCTACAAACCTTAAGGTCAGCAGTTCAAAACTACCAGCTGTTCCTCAGGAGATAGATAAGGCTTTCTGTTCCCATAAAGATTTACAGCCTCAGAAACCCTGTACAGGGTTGCTATGAGTCGGAACCGACTCCACGGCACATAACTGCCACCAACCACCACTAGTACATTACAGAACTCCTGGCTTGGTGCTGTAGGCTCAGCACTGGACTGTGAACCACAAGATCAGCAGTTCAAACCCACCATCTAGTCCTTGGAAACCCTATACAGGGTCGCTATGAGTCACAACCAACTCAAAGGCACTTAGCAACAACAAAAGTACCTTATATGGTGTATATTTTGCAGTGTTTAGAATTTCTTGATGTAAGTTAGATTTGAGTGGAATAGGTATTGTAGATGCATTTGTAAATACACCCACTGTCATCAAGTTAATACCAAATCATGGTAACCATGCAGGGTCAGAGTAAAACTGCTCTATAGGGTTTCCTACACTGTAAATCACTATGACAGCCAACAGCCTCACCACAGGCAGATTTGAACCAATGATTGACTTACCCCATTGCACCACCAGGGCTCCTTAAATGTAAATATGTTGTTGTTGCTAGTGAAGTCAAGTCAGTTCTGACTTAGTGATCCTGGTGGGTTTGAACTGCCAACCTTGTGGTTAGCAGTCTAGTGTGCTTATCTTACAGTGTCACAGCAGGACTCCAAATGAGAATATCTAAATATATGTATATTTAGATATAGACGATGCAAAAGAATACGACTAAACAAACCTATACTAAATCAATGAGGAGCTGCAATTTACAATAAATCCTGAATAGCATGTATGTACACACACAAAAATATCAACGATCTAAACTTCTTAGTTAACTAGATTTTGAATGAATTGGAAATTTTGAATATTCAATTGTAAGTCTGACTTCTTTAGGGAATGAACAAATAGAGTGCATGTTAAAATTGAAAATCATATTTAGTAGGACAAACCTGTATAGTTTTTTAATATCTCGGCATCTCCACATAAAAGCAGAGCAAAACTTACGGCTGGCATTTATGATCACTTATAATTAAGGAAGTCCCACCAACCCCAAAAGACAAACAGGAGAAGACAAATCACAAACAGCCACCTGACTTTCATGACAACTATATCTGCTTTGTACATATTGGAGGGAGCAAAGAAAGACTCTGATGACATCAAAATTAGAAGACCCCAAAAGAGATAGTCAATGTTTACTAGAAAGTATCACATACCCACTAGAGACCAGCAACAGAACTTGGGAGAGGTTTTACCCTCCCCATTACTCAGTAAGTGCAAGAGGCTTGTGGCAAGAAAAAATCTGAAGAGGCTAGAGCAGCCAAACTCACACTGAGGAAATAATGTGAGAGCAAAATCAAAACTGAGTAGTCTAAAGACAACAGGAGGGAAAGGGCAGATCCTTACTAATGTGAAAAAGAGGACCCAGAGCAACCCTGTATAGGGTTTCCGAGCAGCAGCTGGTAAACTTGAACTGCTGACCTTGCAGTTCAAAGTGACTTTGCAGTCCAGTCATTAACGCACAGTGCCACACCAGGACTCTGTAGAAACAATAGGAGTGGAAACTCTATGAAGTTAGACAAAACTATTCTGAATTTCACATCCTTTTAAAGTTTAGGAAAATGGATTTCATGCAAAAATGGGACCAGATTAGTATTAATATCACATTTATACATGATCATATTAACAAAAAAATAATAAACTAAGGAGCATTATGATGTGTCTGCAGACAATGAGTTCATGTCTGAAAATAATTCCTCAAAAACCAAGGCTTTGAACTGGTCAAATCTGTTAAGTCGGGGCCAACAAGGTGAAACTGTAACAGACTCAAAATTTAAATTTGGGTGATCCAGCATGGCATCAGGAACAGAAAAATTATAGGGCAAAATCTTGGAATGGAAGACTCTAAAGAGACATAGTGAGCCCTTTCGGAAGCTTGATGCAGGAAATTGGATTATTGCTAAGACCACAGAGAGCGAGTCATATTCAAAGATGGCAGCTGCTGTTTTCCACTCAATTGGTCAGGAGACTTGATTGCAACACAAATAGCATCCCTGCTTTCCAAGAGGGAGACTAAGTTCCTAATGGCTGTTTGACCTGCGCTTTTTACAGTCTCAAAATAGAGTTGTGGTTCACTCCTATTTTAAAGTTCTGGTCCATGTTGCATCAACTGCTATGAGAGAAGCAGGCTGAGTCAGTTTGAAGTCCTGCTCAAAGCAGGACAAAACTTTAATCTACCATTTCAAAGTAAGCAAAAAGATATTGTTGTTAAGTGTCATCAAGTCTGTTCCCACTCATAGCGACCCTCTATCAGGGTTTCTGAGGCTTTAATTCTTCTAGGGAGTAAAAAGCCTCATTTTTCTCCTGCGAGCGACTGGCAGACTCAAACTGCAAACCAGGTTGTTCATAGCGCAGTATTTATTATATGAAGCCATCATGCTCCTAGAGACATTAAGAAGATAATAAATATAGAGCAACATGAATCATATTAGAAAATCTCATAAATGAAGTGACAGGAAAAAAAAAAAGTAAAAAGAAAAACACATGCCAGGAATGAAAAATAATCTAAAAGAAATACAAGAGCATAAACACAAGAAAACATGTCTTAAGAAGAGACATAGAAGAATAACATACAAGTTTTTAAAAATCAAAATAAAATAAAGAGAGACTAAAAAGGATTTGGAAGAAAGAGACAAGTATTAAAAACAGGCCAAGTGCATCCAATGTATGCATGATAGGAGTTTTTGAAGAAAAAAATGAAAACAAGGAAACAGGAGTCCTAGTGTGGCACTGTGGGCTAATGCACTGGACGGCAAAGTCGGTTTGAACGACAAGGTCAGCGCTTCAAGCAACAACAATTTATAAAATGTTTGAAACTACATATATACGGAGCACACTTGGTAACTGACACTATCAAGTTGGAATGACAAATACTAAGACATAGTCTAGCAAAATTACTAGATTTAAAGAGGAAAAAACCCAATTTGCATATTTAAAAAAAGAGCATGTGAATAATAATTGAAAGAAAATTTCAGGCACTTCTAGAACAACACTTTATGCCAGGAGGAAATGGAATAAATGCATTTATGATACTCAAGGAAAGACTTGTCCTATACTTGAGGATCAAAGCAGGCTTCTCTGAAAATATAAAATTTCAGCTGGTATCTGATAAATGACGAGACATTAGCCCAATTGAAAGTTGGGGTAGAGAATTATGATTAATTGTGTGGCATAAAATGGCATGTTGAAGGCCAAACCTCTGTCTGGTACCTGTGAGGGTGACCTTTGTTTGAAAATTAGGTCTTTGAAGTCATACTAGAGCAAAGGAGATCCTAATTTCAGCTGGAAGTCCTCGTGTGGCATTGTGGGTTAGTGTGCTGGACTGCAAAGTTGATGTGAACCACACAGTCGGCAGTTCAATCTCACCAGTCACTCTTTGAAAAACCCTATACAGGGTTGCTATGGGTCAGAACCTACTAGATGACACTTAACAACAACAATCTCAGTTGAATGATGTCTTATAAAAGAGGACAGACACAGAGACAGATAGAGACAAAGAAAGGGGCTGTGTGAGGAAGGAGTCAGATGTGGCTACAAATCAAGGAATTCCAAAGAGCTTTTGTGCTACAGCGATAGCACTTACCTCAGTTTACTGTTGCAATGATGGCATCGAAAGCAGGATTTATGAAAATGCTGCTTGTCTGCTACTAGGGATTCCATTGGATAAACTGTCTTTTGACAAAGTATGCAGATTTCCTTGTCTTGGAGCAGCAGTTTCTAAAAATTAAAAAAAAAAACAAAACAAAAACTTATATGGTATGATATCAAATGACTTAATAAAGATACAACTGAATACCCCTACCATATTAATTTGCCATTCCCTCAAAGATGATAGCTGGAAGATTATTATAACACTCCTTCTCCATGCATAGATTATTCTGCCTATCAGGTTAGGGCTCTGGTACAATCAGGCTGATTCTGTTGTCTCTACTGTTCATGCATTTGAGGAAGCATACATGAGTAAATATGTTAATTAATTTTATTATGAGGGTGCTTCAAAAAATTTGTGGAAACATGGAATTAAAGGATTGTGGAATTTTCCCACAAATTTTTAAAATTCCCCTCATACATTTAATATATACATGTAGTAAACACAGCTAAGGAGACCATTGAAGGAATTTCTCATTCTGGATAAATAAGCTTTCTACATATATAAAGGTTTACACCTAACTTGGTCTAAAGACTTTTTTTTTTTTTTAAAGTGTTCTGGATAAAACTTGCTGAAATATAGTTGATCCTTATTATTCACAGATTCCTCACTTGTGAAACTGCCTACTTGCTGAAATTTATTTGTAATCCCAAAATCAATACCCAGAGTACTTTTGTGGTCATTCCTGGGTATGTGGAATGTGCAGAGTAGCAAAAAGTTGGAGCCTGCAATGCACAAGACTGGTTTGGTATTCACAATTCAGTGTCCACAGGGACTTGATGGAGCATAACAGGTATGAATAATGTGAATCAACTATATGAACTATCTTTTAAAGATGCGTATGGTTAAATATTTTCTAGATGTTTAGGGTTGCCTCCGAGACATCAACTCTTAGTCGTAAGACAATGACATTCCTGAATAAAATGAGGTATGCATGGGTATTTTCCTCTATCTAAATGGCTTTCATTCTAGGGCTTTTTGTATTCTCATATCTGCTTTTGATAACACTCTTGCCTCTTTGCTGTATGTAAACTTCCTGCTGGTTTCATGTGTATGCTAGTCTCTCTGATATCAGTAGTTATATTACTAGCCAGTGTTTTCATATTGGTTTAAAGTGGATACCGAAGTTTCATCTCAGTATTGCTTTTGATCCACGCAATACCGCAGTATTGTTTTTGATCCTGTGAGAATAGCTAAGTTTTCATATTAGTTATAAGTGATCTCTTTTGCTTAGTTGGTTCTAGAAGGGGGCATCTCTGTATTTCACATCAGCTCATTTGTATTTTTTATGTGATTTTAAGTTATCTTAAAAACCTGAATGTTTGAAATCAATTAGACAACTTTGCTTAATTATTCCAGAAGCAAGCACTGTAAGAAATCTGCTAGACCAGACACATTGCAGATATGAGAGGCGTAATTATTGATATCAGCAATTTAAAATTATTTTAAAGCTTGCTATTTCTTTCAATCTATCCAGCAGTATGGCCTAGTGACGTATTTTCGCTGTATGATAAATACAACTGGGTTGCTCATCACAAGCCTAGTGGTTCCAGTCTACCCGATGATCTGAAGGATAAAGAGGAAGTTCTCTGTTTCTGCAAAGATTTACAGAAACCCTAAAAAAGGTTGTTATTTGTTTTTGTTTTTTAGTCAGAACTGACTCCATAGCATTTAACAACAACAATAACAAAGATGCTTATCAGTTATACCAAATCCTTTTGTTGCAAAATCTCATTAATTGAAAAAAAAGAGAAGAAAAATATAAGGAAATAAGCTGTTCCCTGATACTTAAGAAACAGTACTAAGTTCATATGTGTAAAATATCTCTCCTTTCAAATACAATAAAACATTTTAAAAGTTCATTTGTGATTGAGGCCAACTGAGCTACCATTTGAGGTTTATTTTTCAGAAAGGAAAAAAAAAATCATTTATAAAAACAAACATGTAGAAGTATTAGAGAAAATTGACTATGCCTACACCAATAACAATAATGAGTACATATAAAAGGCTAATTTCTTGCCTACACTTTTGTTAGAGTTATAGATCAATACAAACTCTTACAACACATATGAAAAATGTAAACTGTTTCTTGGATTTGTAAAAAAAATGTTTCCAATTGAAGGTACCCATGTCAGACATGAGAAAGACAGTGCCAACATGTATTCCAAGGAAGCAAAATATTAGTATGTAAACCATTTGATCTTGAAAACAAAAATGTGTCAGGATGTAAACAATGTATTCCCAAGGTGTTGAAGATTGCAATCATGTATAACAGAATTTTCTGGCACCACCCACCTAGGTGATAACTCAGTCCCTTCTAACTAAGGCACTGACCTTTAGATTTCAAAAGACTTCAAGCTGAAGCTGATGTTACCGATCATTAACCCCTATCATTCCTTTGTTCTTTATGTAAATAGACCTCTCTCCCTTGAGGAATTAAGTACTTTGTATTTTTACTTAGGGAGTCCAGGAATGGCGCTGTTTGTTCATGCGTCAGACTGCAAAGTCATTTGAACTGCAAGGTTGGCCTTTCAAGCTCACCAGCTGCTCCTCGGAAACCCTGTACAGGGTCGCTATGGGTCAGAACTTCCTCGACAGCACTTAATAACAACAACCCTGCTTGTTATAATATTCCTCAATAAAATTCTTCTTCTTTCACTGTTAACAGAATATAACAGTTTTTGCTATTGTTGCTGACATTTATGTTATCAGAAGTGGGACTTCAAGGGTGTATTATCTTTCATGATACCCGAAGCATTGGGATATGGGCTTGGTACCTGCTGACCATTCTGTTTCTGTGAATTCTTCTGAATCATTTAAGGTAAAAGACAAAAACAAAACCTTAGGTCCACTGGCATTTAGAGTCTTTGTAAGGAGCTCGGGTAGCTGGTTGTTACGAATTGGGCTGGTAACCTCAAGGTTGGCAGTTCGAAACTACCAGCGGTTCCAAGGGAGAAAGATAAAGCTTTCTGCTCCCATAAAGATTGACAGCCTCGGAAACCCTGTGTAGGGTCACTATGAGTCGGAACCGACTGCACGGTACTTAACAACAACAACAAGAATTTTTATTGTGGCTTGTATTTTGATTCTTGCAAGTAAAAGTTTGTGTGTTGTAACTGTCATTATAAAATGGGAAAAGCCAGGTCTAAAGATTCGAAATCACGTTCTGGGACTTCTGCTCACTACAAGAACCGACGTTATGGTCCCTCGTCAGCACGTTCTTGACTGTCTTGTATAACCTCACTCAGGACGGTTGAAAAAAATCAGTGGACACTTAGAGATCTTTTTGCTCTCTCTACACTAACTTTTCTGTGCAGTAAATTATAAAGACGATTCTCTCAGATTAAAAGTCTCAGTGGCATGCCTGTTTTTATTGGTATATGAGACCCCTAAAAGACATCAAGACAGTAAAGTTGTTTCCCTACAGGACACTCACTGTGTGTAAATTACCTAAACAGAATAAAGAATTACAAGGTCAAATTTCAAATCTCATATTTTCTGTTCCACTGCTGGCTGCTTATACTGTTAAAGCCATTTATTTATACCCTTCTTTGCTTGCCTACTATACTGGTAAAACTTTATCTGAACTCCCCTTTTCCCCTAAAAACCAACAAATGAAACTTGCTCTGAAATGCCCTTTAAAATACTCTTTAAATGTCTTTTTAAGATTTCCCTTGTATCACTTTTGCCCTGTAGACATGCTCAGAATTATGCAGAATTGTGAAAGATTTTCTTAAACCCCATGGGGAACCCTACAAATTTTCTGAAGAATTTTTAAATCCTTGGTGAAACCTACCAGCCTGCACTCCCTGGTTTATATCTGCTTGTTTACATGATGACTGGCCCAGGGGAACCCAATTATGATTAGAACTGCCAGAACTGAAAGACACCAAAGGCAGTCGAGCCTTGAATATTGGTAAAATGACCACTGAGCTGTTGGAAGACTGTTGGACCACAGTAAAAATTGCTAGAGGCCATCTCAAAGACCTCTCTTCCATTAATTAACTGAACTAAGATTCACTCTTGTAAACAAAACAAAGATGAACAGGTAAACGATCATCAGAGGATCATCAGACGTGGTTGTTCCAGTTTTCCTAACACTGTGGGCTCCATTAGACTGTGCCTAGTGCCTCGGGTGCTATTAATGCTGCTTCCATACCTGGTCTTAAGCTTGAGATCTCAGCTTTAGTACAGTCACGTTAATTAGACTAGGAGACATCTTCTATTGTTGGACTAACTAACTTAGTTTACAAACTTTTGTAGATTCTTGAAGCTAAAAGGGTTTCCATAAATGAATGACCCTTCAATTGTAACAATTACAATCTCCAAGACAAAAGAAAAATGCTAAGCCATCCAACAGTACAGAAGTGGATATTTGTCACCATTGTAAAGAACCAGGCCACTGAAAAAAACTAATGCTGTAAGATAAAAAATAATCAAAAGCTTGACATTATCCCCCCACCAAACACACACACACACACACACACACACACACAAATCCTACAACCTGATTCAGAAAGAAAGGTTCTGAGGATAAAACAAAAATGATTTACTATCATAACTCTTAATACAAAAGGAGAAATTATTTATTAATGGAGAAAATTGGCAATTTATCATTGACACTGAAGCCACAGTCTCCCCCATTTTTTTACAGAAGTTGCTGCCCTAGTACTAAACCTCAAAAGCAGTGGGGATCACCAATCAAGCAAAATATTGATTTATTCTGAATCTTATTTAATATCTCTTGGTTCTATTAAAATGTGCACCTTCTCTTTTTGTTCAGTTCTGATGTTCCTGTCAGTTAATTGGGAAGAGATCTATTATACAAATTGAATTGGAATTGCCACTTAACATTTAAATGAACAGGGGGACATATTATTGGCTCTGCCTGATATCCCTAGGTCAACAGAGGCAGGCTCGAATTAGACAATATTTCAGAAGAAGAAATCATTTCATGTATTCTAGGGCTTGGCATGCCTCTCCAAAATTTAGCTCAACTTAATCCTCTCCCTTTTGAAATATTTCCCCTAATTCCTGAGATCTAGGTCATCACATTCATAGATATAGG